CCCCAAAACCCCAAAACCCCAAAACCCCACTTATAGTGTAAAAATAGGATTATTTAGACTAATTTAAGAAAATGGAGCGAAGAGAGCAGGCTTATAGGTGAGATTTGTACGGGAGAGTGGAGGCTAGGTGGGGTGGAGAGGGAGATTCTTGGGTGGGGTTTTGGGGGAATTTTTGGTGGGTTTTGGAGTGTTGGTGATGTTTATTAAGAATAGATAATTTAGAATTGAGAGGATTGGTTAGAGCTGGAGGAGATGCTGATTATCCTGGCGTCTATTTTTATAGTCAGGCATAGAGTAGTAAGATTTTAATATCAGCTCATGAACAGCTTACTTTGTTTCACCTAATTTTGATAGATTTTATTATTATTGACATTAACTTTTAGCACAATCTTTACAGAAGGTGAATTGTACGCTAAAGTGATTTAGGAAATATTTTAAAAGCGAATTAGCACTGGAAATCAATAATTTACTCACTAGTGACTTTCATGTTTTCTCTCATACTATCATTTTGATATAAGGAAATCTTTAGAGTAGACTCAGTTGTAGATAGACCTTTAGAGAATTTATCAGGACCATCATTTCATAGTGATAGTATTTTTAAAGGAATTCGATCAAAATTTTAGATTTTAGAATAAAAATAAATACTTATTATAGGAAAAGAGATCAAGATGATCCAAATGAGCCCTCAGTGGTAGAAATTATTTCGAATATGATAAGAACTCTTTCAAGTAAGACCTACCTCTAATACAATAGGATTTGAGATTATTTCTGGTGTTAAGAAATTTACTAACGACCTAGAAATACTCACCACAAAGCCTGAGTTGCAAGAAGTGAAGAAGGAGTATTTCCAAGCATACACGATGACTTGTTGGAACTATATCTGGAAGTCACTACTATACTATCTTCTTGTGGCCACAATTTTAGTGTTTGCAGGTTATGGTGATGAATACTCATACTACTTTATTTTCCCTCTTTCTTGCATGGGCTATGTAGCCAATAATATTTATGTCCAGAGGACCCGGAGGAGCGACGTCGGGTTAATTCTCTACTATTGTTTCTTTTCCTGAATCATTACAAATATGAGTGTCTCTAAATCTAGCTATGAGTACCATGAAGGATGGGGAGTCATGAACATGGTACTTTTCATTATTGTAATAGCCTTCTGTTTGGAGTGGAAGATTATCATTAAAGTATTCTTACTGTGTAGACTATATTATGTAGCCAACATTTATTATTACTATGGAGCCTTGACCTTCATGCAATGGTTCTGCTTCGTCTTTGAGTTCCTTTGCGTATGAATAATCATTACGACCTTGTCAAAAATTTATCTCAGCTTCATTGAAATGAATATCAAAATAAAGCATTTGCTGAAGACTATTAGAAAGCTGCTAGAAGTATTTCCAGAATCAGTTATGATAGAGGCCTTTGATCCTCAACTGAAACAAAATGTCATGAGATTTATCAACAATGCTGCTAAGAAAGAATTTTCTATTGACAATCAAGATCAAAAGAGTCTTTTAAACCCCAATATGAACTTTAAAATAAGTGAAAAGTTTGAGAAACATACAAAGGAATCAAGCAATATTTCTGAAATTTTAAGAAATCATGCTAAATCTGTAAAAGAGACTAATCAAGAAATCTCTAGTGAGATCAAAGGTATACCACTTTTCAAGAAAATTTCCTAATCAATTATTATAGTAGCCAGAACTGACTCCGATGAAAAGTATTTCACAGTCAAAACAATCATGGTCGAATGGGAAGAAGACAAGCAAGCCTGAATGCATGTGTTCACTGACATGACTCATGTAAAGAACCTTGAGCATGAGAAAGCCATCAACAAGTGACTTCACCTGATGTTTTCGAGTGTTTCTCATGAGTTTAGAACTCCATTGAACGCATTTAAACACTCCATTGGGTTTATGAAAAATTCATATCAGAACTTGCAGAAGCTAGCAATGAGTAATAGAGGCGATGGTAGACTTCAGGAGTCAGACGAGATGTTCAATAAATTCCACAAGATCGCTTCTATCTCTTCTACAACTCTGTTGTCCTTAGTTGAGGATATCCTTGATCTTGCCAAGATAAAGAGTGGAACATTTTCATTGAACATTAACTCATTCAGGCTCAGAGAACTGATGAACGAAATAGATTATATTTTTGGGTTCCAATGAACCCAAAAGAAGCTTGACTTTGAGATTTCTTATACCAACTGATGTCCTGAAACCATTGCTGTTTCAGATGTTGGAAGAGTGAAACAAATACTCATAAATCTGATCTCTAATTGTTTCAAATTTACACAACGAGGAAGCATCTCTGTCAAAATTTCAGAGCTCAGAGAGTTGGAAATGGAAACTTTCGAGTCTCATTCTTACTTTAAGTTCATAGTCGAAGATACTGGAATTGGGATTGCAAAGGAAAACCAAAAGAACTTGTTCCAGATCTTCGGTAAACTCGACCAGGATGATAAGAATATCAACGACAAAGGCACTGGGCTTGGACTCAACATCTGAAAATAAACTCGTTGAAGCCCTTGGAGGAACAATAGAACTAACCTCAGAAGAAACAAAAGGAACAGAAGTAGCATTCACCATAAGAAACCAAGTCGAGCACATACCCCCCTCTAGACAAAGACCAATGAACCATCAAATCCAAGACATCTCGCACAGCTGCCAGTCAGCTAACTCAATGGAACTAACCCCCCACACTATCAGAGAATTTCTCCCCAACCCGTCATGCTTAAAGAATAATCCTAAATAAAGTCATGTTTATCTATCCTCATACCCAGTCTTACCCTGCCAAGTAAGGGTTTCTCAATGAAGACTCCTAAGCCCACTATGTGGGCTAAAATTCTTCCAATTTTTCTGAGTAAAATCTAAAATTTGTGTGGTGTTTTCATGAACTGATGACTATTAGGTCGATTTCTTTGTTCTGCTTCTCAGTTTAGTCTGGATAAGATTTTTATAGAATAATTCATATAGTCAATATCTAGAGCTATCTGGGGTTTTGGGGTTTTGGGGTTTTGGGG